CCCCCTCCCTCTCTCTCCCACACCTCCCGTTTCACAAACACGCTGCATGAGTGCTAGGCAACATCCACCTCATGGTGGTTTCAGAGAGTGGAAAACAAGACGGTCGTAGGTGAATAGCTGGGATGCAAAACGCCATGCCCGCAGGCGCCATGGCATCACGCCTTCGTGCGGAAAAAATAGAATCATATATAGCCACTGGCCCACTGTTACAGACTCACATATTCGCCAGCTCTTCACTATGAAAACATCTTCAAACCTCTTCCAATTTAACACTCTCCTCATCCTTACTCTCGCACTCGAGCTCCCACAGTCCTCGCTAGCCGTCGACATCACCAGCTGCCCACATCCCCATGTGTAACTTCCCACATGCATGTTATGAAAGAAGGCAGAGTAAATGTGGAAGTATACTCCTGTTCATATTTCTTCAAATGCATGTGTGCGTCACAGAGTGTGTGTGTGTGTGTGTGTGTGTGTGTGTGTGTGTGTGTGTGTGTGTGTGCGCGCGCGTGTGTGTGTGTGTGTGTGTGTGTGTGTGCTTGTGTGCGTGTGCTTTGTTAAATTACCCCGAATTCTCTCTCTCATTTCCTCCACAAATCATAACAAACCATCCGTAACAAAAAGGTATAGATAGACAATATAATAGAAAATGCAAGGTTGGCCGCATTTGTGTGGTTCAGCGCCAAGCGCCCACACACCCGTCTGCCACGGAAGCGACACACTTGCACATATACATATATTCATTTGATCCATAAAAGGGTGGAAGGCAAATAGCAACTTACCTAAGACAGAGGACGCCACCAGCAAGAAAGCACCGACCCCATCCTGTGTGTATGTGTGTGTGTGTGTGTGTGTGTGTGTGTGTGTGTGTTGTGTGTGTGGGTTTATGTGTGCGTGTTCGTGTCAGACAGAAGTGGCCCCATTTTTTGGGGCCCGGCTTTAAGCTTGGTCGGACACGACTGGGAACCAGCGAGAGAACACGACAGTCGTTGCCATTGGTCAGTAACCAGCCCTACCCATTGATCACTCGCACAGAAAACACTCTACCGTCTTCACCCGAATAGAACGCCCAGTCATTATCGCTGAATGTAGACTGAAAGTTGTACCGAATACGGCTATAATGACCGGGCGCTCTATTTGGGTGAAGAGGGTAGTCCGCATTCTCTGAGAACCAGTCCGGGTTGCGGCAAACGTGGTCATGCAATCCAGAGTCGCCCCCGCGGAGTTGTACTCAACTGCCAATAGCCAGTACTTGACATTCGTGCCACCTCGGTCGCGCAAGGCCAACACGCGGTTAACATCTTCACCCTTGTCGATGACGATGTTATGGGGCATGCAGGCTACTCGGAATAGCTGTGACAGATTGGCAACGGCACTTCAAGACTCCGTTTCCACATTCGCAGTCAACACGAATTATCTTTAGCCAGGCATCGAATGCGGCTGAACAGCGAGACTGCTGTGCCAATCGCCCGCATGGTGGGATACCCTGGAGTTACACCAAGCAAGTAAAACCTTCTGGAACACCCTCCACACGTCAGATAGCTGGATGGTGCAGTTCATCGACCGACCAATACAGATCCGGATTGGGCTCCTAGTGCCTCATTACGTCCTTTCATGTCGTCAGATTTGATAGTAAGTAACTCTTGTAGTGTATAAGCTGCTGCTCCAGAACCTTCTAAGGGCCAAATCTCCATCTTGCCCTTCCTCCGTAAACCCCGTTTTGCTTTACCACCAAGAGGTTGGTGAGTTACCATCGGAACAAGCTTGAGTTCCTCGACGTTGTGCACCGCTCCCTTAAAGCCCACATTTAGATACAGGATCCCCAGGTCGTGGTCAAACGCAATCTGAACCTAGGCTGAACTCCGGGCTGTCCGGCGCCCAGCTCGTCGCCCGGGCGGGGGGCCGGGCCGCCTGGCCGGTCGTCCCCCCCGGTTGGCCACC